TACACTTTTTAGGATTTTTGATTAATAGAATGTTCTAAAGAACAGCATTTCTTTAAAAAATACAAAACCTTTGTAGCATTATCAATGTCTTTACTATTCATTTATTGAGTACTTGCTGAATAATTTCTTTTAAAAAATCTAACCCCAAACTTGTGAATGGTAGTGTATACAACACTGAGATAAAACATATGCTTATTTAACAATATCTAAACAAAATGGCCAATAAGATTAGTCTAAACAGATTAGTTATTCTGGTTGGCTGCTATATTGGTCTGTAAACTTTAGTCAAGGTAAACAACATATTGGATTTTACCCAAATGAACAACAATGCTGTGAGGGATAAAAATCACAGTCTGTTTTATGAGTGTGTATGTATGTTTGTTTATGCAACAAGTCTATCCTGACTAAGGTCCACCACCAGGGTAGATCATAAAAGCTGGTATATGACCGTGCATAAAATTAATCAACAAAAACAACAGTCAATAACACATATTAAATTACAAAACAAAAGCAGTTGATATTAAAAAACAAAACAAAAAGTACACCAACTTTCATCTTCGTCATCAGAATCTGAAATATCCACATTTCCTTCCTGGATTCTTATTCTTTCTGGAAGAAAAACAAAAAAAAGTAACCTTATTTTAAGTCACCTGAACAATGTGAATGGAGTGCAGCAATACTATAATATATCTTACTTGGTGCAAAATTAGAGATGACCATTCTGAGACAGGCTCTGAGATAAACTGTCTGGGCTGACACCAGGTTACTCAGAAAAGCCAGATATTCTTCCACCACAGCCTGACTGCGACCGAGCCATGGCAGCTTCTGTATGGGGAAACATTTCTTTCATTAATGCACAGCGAAACTGACCTGACAGCTTTTGTTTATTATTTGACACATTGGTGTTTCACTCACCAAAACAACATATATTAATTGCTCATGATCTTTGCCAAGTTGAGTGACACAGGTCCTGAATTCGTGCAACCAGCTGATAATTTGAGCGTCCTACAATAACATACAAAAAGAGTGAGAAAGAACATTTCTAATTGCACATGTTTGAAACACAAAGTCCAGGATTCCCACACCAATCATGTCCCAGTACTGAATTAGGATTTTCAAACATCATTTTGATTCAGACCGAATGAATCATTTAGACAGATTCGTGAGTCGGTTTGACCAATTCAATGAAAAGTAACTCGGCAACATCTAGCCCAGGGCTGTCCAAACTCGGTCCTGGAGGGCCGGTGTCCTGCAGAGTTTAGCTCCAACCCTAATTAATTACACCTGAAGCAGCTAATCAAGCTCTTACTAGGCATAGAAACTTCTAGTCAGGTGTGTTGAGGCAAGTTGGAGCTAAACTCTGCAGGACACCGGCCCTCCAGGACCGAGTTTGGACAGCCCTGATCTAGCCAATGAAAGACTTTATTCACTTTATAGTATCCATAACATCTAAGGTTTTTTGTTCCATGATTTTTTACAGGTCTTGACAACAACAATAACCTTGAAATCAAGATTAAAAACAATACTTGCCTTAATATCAGGATCTGAGAGTTGATGTTTTATCAATTCATAATCACTTGTGTCGCCCTGTAGACGTCACATCAGAGACGTAAGGACATGTTTTACAGACAGTGGCATTCATTAGCTTTATACTGTACTTACAATCTGACCCAACTCACCTTTTGTAGTTTAGCTAATGTATTGGAAACTGTGCCTCCAAAACGCACAGTTTTCTTTGGAGGTGTACTGAGGAAATCTCTGTCCTCAATTTCCATTATTTATCACAAATAGTTTTAATCTGCGAACTGAAAACAAAACGACGTTAAAATCAACGACACCTAACAAACGCCAACTAAGTCTACTTCAAAATTCATTCTGTAACGATATCCGTTGCATCCACACACACAAGAAAAGATATACAATTAAAACATAAAAGCTGTATGAAGATAAAACGGATACTTATAGGCATGCGCCTAGTTATTAAACGGACTACATCACGCGAGTTAATAGATCACAACTTACCAAATAATGCTTATTCAAAAAAAAGTCTATAATTAAATCAGGCATTATAAGTGAGATATAGAAATAGTCACATGCGTTCCACGCCGAGCTCTGCACGACCGGAAGCGCTGTATTGTTATTACGGAAGTAGCGTGTCTAGTTCAGTTGCGTTCAGAAAATGAACGTTCTGCCACCTAGTGGTTTGAAGTGTAATGACTCGATTAATGGTTGCTTTGCATATCAGGGCCTGATCAGGGCCAAGGGCCGCTTGGTGGATAGAGAGATGGAGCATGTACGTATTATACACAACTGAGCAGGCCCGGATTGGCTTATCGGGAGCACCGGGAGGATTCCCGGTGGGCCGGTGTTACGAGATTTTCGGTTTCCGAGATGTTCTGTTTCAGTGGGCATACATTTCATACATGAATATTCATGAGTTTCCCCGACATGCGCGTGGAACCAGGTGGAACTGAGAATTTCAGTTCAGGCTCCTTGTATCTCAGCAGGTTTAATGGATTCATCAAGGAATCCTGTCGCTGTATAATGGTTTCCACACTTCATTAAGCAGTACAACCATTTTCAACTCTGATAATAATCAGAAATGTTTCTTGTGCGGCAAATCAGCATATTAGAATTATTTCTGAAGGATCATGAGACACTGAAGAGGAGAAGTTGAGATCTGACATCACAGGGGGAAAAAAACTTTATTTTAAATTGTAAAATGATTCCACAATATTAATGTTTTTTATTATTTTTAATCCGATGCAGTTGGTGACATGAACAAAGAACCTTACTAATACAAATCCTTAGAACAGTATTTTATATATCAAAACAAGCACAAGCACACTCACACTTATGAACATTTGTTAATGAAATTATTTTTTAACATGAAATTAGTTTCTTATTCCATTCCATAAAATGCAGTGAAGCATTTTTTTCTCATTTACAGTGTACCAGATATAGGCTACTTTTTAAACTTGTGTCCATACAATTTAGTTTAATCCAAAATTTTACTTATTAAAGGACCACTTTCATGCTTGTGTGTGTGGTCTTAGATTCCTATTCATTTTGTAAATACAGTCAAAGCCTAACAGTTTAAGAACACCAGGATAGATGAAAAACGATCCACAAATACAAGTTTATTTCAGCTGTTGTATTTAAATGAAAACAACTAACAACAGACACAGTTTTAAAGCATTGCAAGCTACAGCACAACGAACTGAAATCAAAGTAAATTACAATAGCTTGAGTGTGCTGAATGCCTGCAATCATTCAGTCAGTGACGACTGCACAAACCGTGCAAACTAATGAAAACATTATAAACTGTTACAAAATGATGAACAAATGTAGTTTAGGCATAGGTTTGTGCAACGCTGTAAAATATTTACCTTTTTTAAAATATACCATTAAACCTGCTGAAATACAAGGAGCGTTAACTGAAATTCTCAGTTCCACTTGGTTCCACGCGCATGTCCGGGAAACTCATGAATATTCATGTATGCTCCGCCCACTGAAACAGAAAATCTCGGAAACCGAAAAAAAATATCTCGTAACACCGGTCTGTTTTTTGGCAGCGAGGGCCGGTCTTGTCATGCCACAGGGGTTGAAATATGGATGCCGATATTTAAGGCATCAAAGAAGCGTCCCGTATGAAAGCTATAACACAGTTTGTCGCGTATTCGCAGGCATACGTCAAATGACCACCAGACCATATGAATAACAAATTCTCAATTGATAACTAATCATTCTATTGCGCAAATCATTGTTGTATTTGTGAACGTAGCCGTTCGAGGAAGGCTTTAAGACCAAGCGGAATCCTCTGCCGGCTGCCAGTGTTGCCAATTTAGCAATTTTGTTGCTAAATTTAGCAACTTTTCAGACTACCCTAGCAACTTTTTCTTCCAAAAGCACCTAGCAACAAATTTAGCTTTTTTTAAAAAATTTATTTGGCAGCTTTTAGCAACTTTTGATAAGTGACTCAAACGATAAAAAGGCACAATTTACCATTTAAATTACGCAAAAAGAGGAAACCAAAGATGCCTAGCAGTACACACGTTACAGGAATTAAGTTAGCTGCTATTTGCAATTGTTTAATAGTAATAATAATTAATAACTAAGGCATGAAACTCCAGGGCTGAAAATTAGTCCCACTTTGTGTTGAATTTTAAGCCTGGTCTGTATACTGTATACAAAATGCTTACATTGTAAATGCAGTAAAATAATGATATACTCTTTAGGCTACATTACTCTTTTTATGTAAGAAATTAATGTGGGATGTAAAATATTTATCTGAGGTTTTGGTAACTTAAAGGAATAAAAAAAAAAGACCCACTGTATCTTCTTTCATGTTCCACAGAAGAAAGTCCTACAAGTTTGAAATGGCATGAAGGTGAGTAAATGATGACAGAATTTTCTTTTTGGGGTGAACTATACCTTTAATATAGTTTTCTTAATAGGCTACAGTATTTTTGTAAAATTTGTGAGAAATCAAACAATAATTGCTGGACTCTTTATTGAAGACCACTGGCACATAAGATTTGATAATTTTGTTTTGGTATTGTCATGAAAAGAATGTCACAATACAAATGTTATTTCATAAGATTTGCCCTGTTGAACAATACAGTCTTAAGTGAAATGATCTTTTACTGTAAATGATCTTTTCCAGATTCTTTGGTTAGCTTAATTGTGCAATAGTTTCAAACAGGTAATAATAATAGAAAAATTGTGTCAATGTATGAATGCATCTGAAACTGCATAAAAGGCACCTGAGATCCACCTGAAAGCTGCATATAAATATCTAGAAAACTGTTGTGAATAAAAGAGGACACTGTCGTTGAGTTAACTATCAAACCGTCTGCCACCCATCCGGTTCATTTACACTGCTGCTTCTAAATTGGTATAAGCAAACAAAGATAAGAGGAAGCAAACCTAATAACACTTCTCAATGTCCAAAGGTTGTACAGTAGAGATGAGATTCGATAAAAGCAGGACACTAGAACATGTCTGGGTTACAATCCCGTTGGTCGAAACTCACATATAAAACAGACTATTAAATGTCGGAAAATACATAATTGTATTTATTTTGTCATACAGCCATTCTTGTCAGTGCATAATCTCAAAATAGTGTAGTATAAAGCATGAAACACAAAATCAATCAAATCAACATAGTACAAAACATAATTCAATTGTAAACATTTTCAATAAAAACACCAAAGTCAAAAAATTTATATTTCAACACGAGAGAAAAACAAAAGTCCGCTTAGGCAATGCCATATGGTTGAATATCCTCTTCTGTAACCTGTTAAAATAAAACAAGAAAATGTTGAAACTTTTATTTTTGTCATTTAAAAGGTCTCTTTCTCTCTCTTGTGTGTATTTGTTCTATTATTTTATCCTACTGTCTGTGTCTATCTATATTATTTAGCCTATTGAATCCACTTGGAAAACATAATGAATTTATGTGTTTTCATACACTTTTCATATACAGTTTATAAATACTCAGTTTTGCTACTTTATTTTACATAACATTGTGCAAATTATGAGTTAGGCCTATATCATGTAGTAAAACAATCTTCATATAGTACGTTAGCAGGGTGAATCCTCTTAAATATGAAGATACATCTGTTATACTTTAGACTGTAAGTCTCCATTGTTTATATGAGCTATTGTAGGTTTCATGGTTGATGTTTAACAGAGTGATCTGCCCTTACTTATGATGCAAATACTTCCTCAAAGTCATTTCATTGACATGTTTCCTTTCTCTCTATGAGCAGCTTTTTTGTCATGCCAATTATTAAATCAAAAATAAGTAGAAACACAGTCATAAAACATTTTTTTTTAAACTTGTTTGAAACATTTCATCAAACATTAATTGATAAACTGGTGAAGTTGGCATTGTTATTACCATAATTAGTGACGCAAAATAGACAATCAGACGTAATGAAATGGTATTAACCTGTACGTGATGGTTCATATGGCCTGTGTTTCTGTTCTGAGAGTCTGTCCTCCGGTCACTGTCGCAGACACAGTGCTCACATTATCCTGAGAGGTCATTGCAAAAGCCACTGGTACCTGACTGCCATCTCTTCTGTGCTTTGCTTGACTGGCCACTGCACCTTGACCACGGGGTCCCCCAGTTCTCCTGAGAGAGTTTCTGATTCCGCTCGAGAGGCGGCTGGAGAACCTCCTGACAACCCCTGCCAAACCCCTGCCCTTCTTCAGCAACCCCACATCATCCTCAAGCTCCTCGGGGGGCACCTCAATATTACCCGTGTACCAGAAAACCCACCAAATGAGACTCAGGAAAATGATGATGGCTCCTGCATATATCAAAAAGTCGTAGAAAAACAAGTCTCCAAACACGCCGAGCAATAATACGATGAGACCAAGAACGTCGAAAGCCACCGCAAGCCAGAACGCGCAAGAACAGCGCCCGAGACCGCCCGGCGCTGCCTCCATCGTCACGCTGTTTTTACTGTTACCTTTGGTCGTTTGGGACTGTTGAATTGCTTTTTTGAAAATAGCAGCTGTCTACATTAAGACTATAGAAGGGTTTCCGGTTGTTTCATAGGTAAGCGGCGCGAAGGAAGGATCTCTCCGTTTCCACTTCACCTGGAAGGGAGTGGCATAGAGCGGTGGGTGCGTCTTAAATACAGACTCACCTAGATACAGTACACCTGAGCTGTGCTGCCCCGAGTGTCCGACACAACACTAGCACTTCAGGTATGCTGAATATAAACACTTACTGTACAGTGTACCTTCAATTGACGGTTTTTGTTTTATATTTTCAGGTTTTTTGGAGTAACAAAAACATACACTGAAAAATAATTTGGTGTGGAAAACATTTAACTCAAAAATTGCTAGTAAATTTCACAATTTATGTAGAAAGAATGTGCAAGTAACACACTGAATTGAACATGACACTTTGAAGTAGAAAGACTGAAACGTACTTCAGTAATCTTCCGATTCTGATACTACAACTATTTATAACTATTTACAATTTTTTTTACAGTAGTAGCCTATCAGAATGGTTTTAGAATGTTTCTCTAATCTTTTTTTGGATGGCAGTGCTGGTTTTCCAAGATACCAGATGTTCAGGGAAATTTGAGTTTTGTAGTAACAATGACTATGTAATAAAATAAAATGTAGGCGATATTAATAATATATTAATAACATTAAAATTATAATACATCAATGTGGTAAGTTTGTATAATTTGAGTTTGTTTAAAAATGATAGTTGTATTTGTATACGATATATAATAATATATAATATTATTATACAAATATAAAATATTTGTATTTGATTATTCATTCATTCACTTATTTATTTATTTTTGACAGTAGCTTGGCTATACCAAAATATGTAATGAAAATGTAAGGTTTAGGTAAGATCTTTGGTAAAACCGTATCTGGGCCATGTTTCTCAAAAGCAGTGTGAGCCTGGTGGCAATGATCTTTACAATAAACTTGCTCACAGTGCTTTTGGGAAATGCAACCCTGGACTGTCTTTTTATATCCAAAAACTCAAAAGCTAAAAAAAAAGAAGAAAAAAGATGAAATCTAGAAATGTACACACATTTAGAACATAAACACATTTCAGTGGTCTTCAACCTTTTTGACTGGATGGCCTCTTATTATCCAAGACAATATTTTAAGGTCCCCATGTAGACTTCTGGCACTTCTGCTGTAGTGACAAGGTTTCTTGTTTTCAAACATTTTAATTTACAGTAACCAGGAATGTCAATATATGAACTATAATAATTACATTAAAATTATATGAATATATTTATGTGACTTTTCCACATTGTGATTTATAGGACAAGGTATTAAAATTATCTTTAACTCAGAACTATGGCAATTTCTTCACAGTTTCAGTTAGCTGACATAACTAGAAGAAATATCTATATATTTATTAAAGAAATTTCCTTGACTTTTAAAATGTATTAATTAAAAATTCATGCCAGTTTTCATCTTGATTTTTAGTTTTACCTTATTTTTAAGCATTTTACATCATCTTGAGGCCTCCTCGGAAGTCTGCTCAGACTCCCTTTGTGGGCTCCAGCTCCCTGGTTGAGAACCACTGCACATTTAGCACATTTAAAAATAAGAAAAAATAATTTTCTTAAATCCTTGAGTTCAAGTTTGTTTTTTAAATATATAAATGCAGTAACAGCCATATCACCCTGCAGCCCAAGACTGGTTGCCCACTGAAGCTAAGCAGGGTTGAGCCTGGTCAGTACCTGGTTGGGAGACCTCCTGGGAAAACTAGGTTGCTGTTGGAAGAGGCGTTAGTGAGGCCAGCAGGGGTTGCTCACCCTGTGGTCTGTGTGGGTCCTAACACCCCAGTATAGTGATGGGGACACTATACTGTCAAAAAGCACCATCTTTCGGATGAGACGTTAAACCGAGGTCCTGACTCTCTGTGGTCATTAAAAAAAGAAAAAATCCCATGGCACTTCTTATAAAGAGTAGGGATGTAACCCTGGTGTCCTGGCCAAATTCCCTCCACTGGCCCTTGTCTCTCAAGGCCTCCTAATAATCCCCATCCACTTGATTGGCTCTATGACTCTCTCTCCTCTCCACCTGTAGCTGGTGTGTGGTGAGCGCACTGGCGCCATTGTCCTGTGGCTGCCGTCGCATCATCCAGGTGGATACTGCACACTGGTGGTGGTTGAGGAGAGACCCCCCACATGATTGTAAAGCGCTTTGGGTGTACAGCAATACACAATAAAGCGCTATATAAATGCATTATTCATTCATTCAATAAAAAGTAACTTGATACAAATGGTGTGTGTCATGGAAACTTCATGTAAGAAATGGCAAGTATTTAATCTATGACTTTCTGATGTTTATTCTCATCATTCTTAATTTGTCTAAAAACAACATACATTTAAAAACCAAAATGAAAAGGCATTTTTGAAACTAATATGCTAAAGTCATGACATAAATGTACACAGTACCTAACAGAGGTTTTTTTCTGTCCTGTTGTCAGAGGTCATTGCATGCAGTGAACGGCGCGCACACCAGACATTTTTGCCCTTCTGAGATTAGCAAGTGTGTGATCCTGCCTAATCCAACACAGACAATCAGTACCGGAAAAGCTGTTTATCTGTTACCCAGCATCACCCTCAATATCTCATAAAATCTGCATTAAGCTGTCGCGTTTCTCAATTCTGCATGGTTAAACACATCACCTCTCACATACACTTCCATAAAAACAGCACCACAAGAAACTGTACAACTCACCTACAAACAAAGTAAACACTGGTTTATCTAAAATGCATTGTGTAAACTGTGGAAAGCAATATGTAATCACAATAAATATATTTTTTACAAGTTTAATAAGATACAAATCTTTTTAATACTGCATCCCTTATGAGTACATGTGCATGTAAACCTTATGAGTGAATGCGTCTTCATTTCTCTTTAGAAAGAGTTACGTTTGGATAAAACACTGCACACACAGTATGTCCATTTTTTTTTTTTAATATTTCAATAAATTAATAAGGTATTTGGGTTGAATAGCAACCTAACCTGGGGCACAAAAGTCAAGTCAAGTCAAGTCACCTTTATTTATATAGTGCTTTTAACAATACAGATTGTGTCAAAGCAACTGAACAAAAGGCCCGTCCAAACCACCCAGTGAAATTCTTAAAGACACAATGCATTTCCCTTCAGTAATAAATAAATAAATTGAATCACATAAAACAAAAAACTATATAAAGTAAAATTGGGTTGTTCAACATAAAAATAAATATAAGGTGTACACGTATAAGTTAATTTTATATCACTCTTATTAAGATCAAAAGCAACAAGATTTATAAACACAACACAGCCTCGATACAGTACCATTGTAGGACTCAACTGTCCATCCGCAAAGGCACAATGTTATTCATATGCGCCACTGTGTCTCTATTTCTCCTCGTCGGTACTGCGAGGTAGAAACCGTTTTTTGGGGGCCATGATCCAAGCTAAGGCCACTGCTGCTGTGCCATCCCCACTTTGTCGCGAGAAACATAAGAACGTGGCCCACAGGAATGCTGAACAGCCCATGAATGCCGTCCTCAGGTAGAGAGGCAACAGAACAAAATTCAGAAACTGAAAGAAAATACAGATTAATCAACATAAATCGTGATTAGATGAGAAAAATTTACAGAATGCAGTTTAAGAATATTGACAAAGCAAAGGATCAAGAAGTGCTTATGGCACATTTATCTGGTTGTGTATATATATATATATATATATAATATGGTGACAGAATGTGGTTCTTACCTGCATGAATGGCCAGTACATTAGTCCAGTCTGAAATGCAAAAATATATTTACACTATCAGCCATAAAAAGCTAGATGTTCTCAATATCATTTTATAATAAATTTATAACATTTGTAAATGTATAACCCTTTCGAATACAAACCTAATAAATGACAAACTAAAATTACTTTTGTATGTCATCTTGTAAATTAATGTATTACATGTATATTATGTATACATATAGAGAGAGAGGAGAGGAGAGAGAGAGAGAGAGAGAGAGAGAGAGCTTTTTTTAACATCTTGACATCAGTACAAAATCTAGGCTCTAGAAAGACACAAAAGGTTCAGAACTTTTCAGGTTCAGAAGGATTTTTCAACTAGTGTCCATATTTGATTTAGACATCACTGAATTATTCTCTGTAAAGGAGGTTGTTCATGGGCTAACTGGTAAAAGATGACTTCTTTTTGGTCGGTCATCAATGGGCCTACCTTGTATGTATTAAAAAACTTTTCTCGCCAGTCTGCAAATATGTCCTCTTTGCCCTCCAAGAAACTCACACCTGTGAAGACAATGAATTGAGTGATTAAACAAACAAGTGTGATATATGTGACTGTGATTGACATTAATACAGTACATTACCTGTGTAGAAGACACTGGTCGCCAAAGGTGAAGCAAAAGTTTGGTCCAAAAGCAGTTTGCGTAAAATCATACTGGCCGATCTTCCCGGGAAACGATGTTCTAAGGCTCGCAACCAGAAGTAATTGAAGTTACCTTGAAAGCTCATCGCCACAATCGCCACGTTTCTCGTGTGCCTCCAGTCCATTTCATCTCTCTGCGCGATCATGCACTGATGCACGAAATCCCCACCGGCGAACAAGCATCCGTACAGAGTCACATTGCTTATCCAAGGCAATACCTTTGCTCGTCTGAAAAAAGATTTTCTCATGTTCAACAAAACGGAAACTTGTAGGCCTACTTCGTAACCTTTGTAAACGACGTCGATGGACACGAAACAAAGCGGTGACCTGACATTGACAGACGGCCGTAGCTAAGCTCATATAATATTTTGCTCTACAAGTTAAATATTCTATTAAACTCTATTATTTCTAGTCAGTCTTGTTCAATCTATTTAAAATGCACAATAAATTACAGATTAATGGTTTGACAGCTCATTGTGACTCTTGGTGAACATCTTTCAGAAACATTACAAAGGCAAAGCACTGCCAAATAAAACACAGATCAATCGAGTGCCTCGGTTCAGTCCATCTTCTTTGACTTTAAAAGACACAGCAAGGCAAAAATAAGAATTACATTAATTAATCCATTTAGCAATTAAATTAAAAGGTTCCAGCGCGCGTTCATCCAGTGATCAGCAGTTTCCCGTTACTTAGTCAGTGCTCAAATCCCACATTAATCTGACCGCGCGCTCCTGCGCGTTCAAATCTGATCTGTATATAATAAAGATCGACCACATACTCAGTAAGACCAGTTGCTAGATTTTATGTTCGTGCGATCAACATTTACTGAGACTTTTGTGCTTACACAATGTTAACATATTTCATCCTTATATATGCCTCATATAAAGCTAATGTTGTGCCACTGTTTGAACGAATGTTTATTTAAGTCGGATCGTTTCAATGAATCACATTCACAGGTGTGAGTTTCTTGGAGGGCAAAGAGGACATATTTGCAGACTGGTGAGAAAAGTTTTTTAAAGGCACAATATGTAATTTTTTGCCACTAGAGGGCGCGAATTCAAAACAAACAAAGAAACAAAGGCGAAGTTAGGTGACTGGGTGTGGAATCATGGGAGTTGTGGTCTTCATCCCCACAGCCGATCCAATCCGATGGGACTTGGGCAGAAATCATGTTCATGGATGAGCTAATGTATTAAAGATTTATTAACTTTGTAGTATGAAGCAGAGTGAGGCGGAAAGCCGTCGAAGCAAAATGAGGCCGCTGATCGAGCGCGACACATGGCTCGAAATCAGCGGAGCCTTCCGGAAAGCAGCGGAAGTAAGCTGTGCTGTTTTATCATAGCCTACTAGATACATTGGAACATTCTGTTATAATGCTACTCTGTGCAGCCGTCACCTGTCTAATAAAATGCATAGCATATTAAAGCGTCTTTGGTGTTTCCATGTTTTCTAAACTGGAAATCGAGGGTGTATGACATCATTGGCAGGCGACACAATGACACTATAGACACGGTCCGTGTCACTAGTTAAAATAGCTTATTTCTCTGGATTTAAACATTCTTCAAAACATTTGGGATAATGTAAGTACACAAGTCAGTAAAATATATAAAACTGTTCTAGTGTTTTTTGGATATTTTAATAAAAAAAATCTTACATATTGTGCCTTTAATATACAAGGTATTGATGACCCACCATTGATGACCCACCAAAAAGAAGTCACTTTACCAGTTAGCCCATGAACAACCTCCTTTACAGAGAATAATTCAGTGATGTCTAAATCAAATATACAGCAGTTGAAAAATCTGAAAAGTAAATTATAAAATATTTGAATAACAGCAATTTTACAAATAAAAATGTTTAATTAAACATGTTTACGACTTACTTGTACGACAGTTGTATCACACGAATCTGATTAGTTTTGGTGAATAGAATTTTAATTAAAAAAATGCAAAAACTTTTCAACCGAGTCAAGTGATGTTGATTATTTTTAATCCAAATCATATTTTGGTTCTCAATTACTATGTTTTTATGAGCTCAGTTATGACAACAACAAACTGAACATGGACACGTTACTTTTATTTAATCATAAAAGGATGTGATGTCAGAGACCACGTGATGATGTAAAAGGTTTTTCGAACCAATTTGTTTTTGCAACGAACTGTTCGAAAGAACCGATTCGGGTCGGACTCCACATCACACTACACTGCATCATTACATGTCTTTGCATGGAGTAAACCGAGGAGCTTCACGAAGACTGTAGAGGGGGCGTATGTTTAGGCTACGTCAGCGCTGCCAGCGTGGAGCGGCATGACACCAGGAAGTAACACTATTAAATTGACTATACAAATAACGACGAGAAAGGGTACCTGAGGTGGATTTTTGAGCTTTTTGGATTTGCTTCCCTAAAATTACACAACACACGCACGGGGGCACGGAGAGTCCCTGCGACTAGGTTTTCAACATTGCATGGATAAGCCGCCCGTGAAGGTAATGTAGAACATCGTTCGTTCCCTGAAGGACTCGCTCATTTGATTGAAGTACAGGAAGCTTATTGACTGTCATTGCCATAGGGAGGATGATGCGGAGCTATACCGGATTCAATAGAAGCCACAGTCGAGTATTTGCTGTGCGTAAGGCTTGATAAACTTTGATCTAAAAAAATCAACTGTGTTGCAAAATGAAGTGTTGTGTTATAGCAGGATGCGCATGAGGACATGACATTAAATCTTTTATCGTCTGGACAAGGTGGACGTACCAGATGAGTGCTAGTGTGTTGAAATGAGCCTTGTCATCCGACAGGTTTTCGTCGTTAACACACCCCACATCCTGAATATCAGGAATTATAAGTGTAGAACAGATAAAGGAAGATTTAAGACAGCGCTACAGGCTTATTTTACACAAGCTGGCACAGTTTACAAGTAGAACAGCTTTTGTCAAGTCTGCCAATAGTATTTGTGGTATTTATTTTGTGCTTACATATATTATAATGTTATGAACACACTATTATATCAAAAGGACAGAGGCCTAAATGTTTCCTGCTCTCACATAGTCAGCGAAAGTGCCCTACAGGTGAAATATGAGTTTTGTTAAAGCCTGACGAGTCATTTTATTTGATGTGACAAGAAATGTGATATACAGCCATTGTCATCAAGTTTGCCAGTTCTCCATGTTTCACTGCAATACCCTTTAAGGATAACCATATACATATAACCATAACCATATACATTTTACTGTGTAGATGATGGACCCTACACTTGCTGAGATGGGAAACCATCTCTCTGATGCCATGAAGATTTTGGAAAGTGGAAAATTGTGAGATTTCACCTTTCATATTAAAATATTTTCAGTAATTGCATTTAAAATACTAAGCCATCTTTATGTTAGGTTGACAGTATATCCAAAGTTTAGTTTCACATATAACTAATATAACATTGTGTGGATGTATTCAGGGAATCTGAACAAGGCAAAGAAAGAAGAAAGTTGAGTTGGAAAGACATTCCAGGACCCTTGCAAGGAGAGTGAGTGAGACTCTAATACTGTAAATCACAGTTTACATTTACACTGTTTCTTGTCTTGCTCTGTAATTCTACCCTGCTTATTTCTAAGGCATTTTATGGGGTTTAAAGTCAGTGCATATTAGCTATAAAACACTTTAGAGCCTCTCTTATCCTTTTTCCTTTTTCCATTTTTTTTTCTGACAGTGGACAGGATGTTGTCAGCATACTCCAGCTTGTCCAGAACCTGATGCATGGAGATGATGACAAGCAGGGTCAACGGTTGGTCACAGCATTATAGAGCTGCTCAGTTTGTCGTCCTAAAGCCAAGAAATGAATCCCTTGAGAATTTTGAACAGGCTTATTTTAATAAAAGATAATAATACTTTTATTCAGCAAGGTCAAGAATGCATTAAATTGATCAAAAGTGATGGTATAGACATTTGTAATGTTACAAAAGATTTCTATGTCAAGTAAATGCTGTTTTTTTTTTTTTACTTTCTATTAATTAAAACAAGAATCCTGGAAATAAGTATCATGTTTCCAGAAAAATATTAATCAGCACAACTGTTTTCAACATTGATAATAATAAGAAATATTTATTGAGCAGCAAGTCAGCTTATTAGAATGTTTTCTGAAGGATCATGTTACACTGAAGACTGAAGTAATGATGCTGAAAATTCAGCTTTGATATCATGAGAATAAACTACATTTTAAAATATATTACAATAGGAAACAGTTTTTGAATTGTAGTAATATTTCACAGTATTACTGGTTTTACTGCATTTTTGATCAAATAAATGCAGGCTTGGAGAGCAGAAGAGACTTCTTTTAAGAACATCTTACAAAAAATTCTCACAGACCCCAAACTTTTGAATGGTGGTGCAAGTAAAATACATCAATAAAATAAGGTCTGTTATATATAGAACAACACAGAAAAGTGTCCTCAAGAAAAGTCTTTTTCAGTAATGTTAGTTGTAGGCCTTATTTTACTGATAAACCAAACCTATGGTGAAGTAATCTTTGGGGTTGGTCTACAAATTGACGTCAAGACAGACCAGCTCCATTATATTGCACCGAGAGCATGTGTCATAAACCCCTCTACGTGTGTCATAAAACTATGAACGTCTGTTTAGCAGGATGCAGTACGTCGCAGAGCAGGGACACATGGCTCTACTGGGACATAGTCTGGCCGCATATATTTCTGTCCTGGAACGGGAAAGATTGAGAAAGCTGACCACCCGCATCCTGTCGGATACCACTCTCTGGCTCTGCAGGCTTTTCAGGTACGATCAAGTTCTCTCTGTGATCTCATGTGGTTTCGGGGTAATTCTCTTCTCGCTGTCATACAAACACTTTGAAGTGATTTAAAGCTAGAAATGTGTGTAAGAGCATTGAGAATGGGCTCCACATTTGGTTCACCTCAGCAAATTTAATTGGCGGTGTCTTCACTTAAAAACATTGAGCTTTTTATTAGAAAAAAAAAAGCTTTTTTTATTATTAGTGTGCAATTATCATTTAAAGGGATAGTTCACCCAAAAATGAAAATTCTGTCATTAATTGCTCACCCTCATGTCGTAAGATATTTTTGATGGAAACTGAGAGCTGTCTGACCCTCCCATAGACAGCAATACAACTGAAATGTTCCCAAGTTCAGAGACGTAGCAAGGAGCGAATTGTTGAATAAAGTTTTTTTTTTCTTTTGCACACAAAAAGTATTCTCGTAGCTTCGTAAAATTACGGTTGAACCCCTGATGTCACATGGATTATTTTACAGATCTCCTTGCTACGTCTCTGAACTTGGGAACATTTCAGTTGTATTGCTGTCTATGCAGGGTCAGACAGCTCTCAGATTCCATCAAAAATATCTTAATTTGTGTTCTGAAGATGAACGAAGGTCTTACGGGTTTGAAACGACATGAGGGTAGTTACAGAGACAGAATAATTAATGACAGAATTTTCATTTTTGGGTGAACTAACCCTTTAAGACAGATAGGTCATGCTTTGAAACAGGTGCTTTTCCAGTTTGATAAAGTGATTTTTGAAGCAAATTATTATATGGTTTTAAATGTCCTACAAATATTTTAAGGATGCACTGATATTACAATTTTAGCTGATACCAATAAGCAAGTAATTACTTTCATGTAATGGCCAATAAACGCTAAATGGCCAATATTAAAATTCTATACTGTTTTGTCAAAATAAATAAATAAAACACTAAAAACTAAAATCAATCATTTTAAATGTTACTGAATTTAGACATAACAACATTATAGTGTACAGAATGAAAATGGATATCCATTTTGAAATTTGAGATTACATTGCATTTAAGATATTTCTTTAATTCTATTTAATTCTTTTTCATAGATATGAAAATGGCTCCGCATATTATCATGAAGATGACTGTGAGGGGCTGGTGAAGGTGTGTCGGCTAGTTATTAATACTCATTATGAGGACTATGCTACAGAGGGCTTTACAATGCTCAGCTCTAAACATCCTGTGATTTACCAAAGTGCTGCATGCAGACCTGGCCTGGGACAACATCTCTGCAGCCAGGTATAATGTCACCTCCACATCACACGTCAGTGCTGCAGGATCTGAAATGTTTCACATTATCGCACTATATTACAAAATATAGCGTGTGTGTTTATATGTAGTGAATACTGCTTGCTTTGATTAGACAACTTTTTTGTGTTTGCTTTTCAGCTGGGACTGCCTCTGTCATGTCTTTGTATTGTGCCCTGTAACACCATGTTTGGCTCCTTGCACCAAATGGTAGGAAGCTGTCTTTTGGTAGATAAGTTTAGAACTTATGTAAGTTTTTAAAAAGGATGTTTCTTGGGCTCACCAAGGCTGCATTTATTTGATCAAAAATACAATAAAACAGTGATATTGGTAATATATTAATATATTTAATATAATTTAAAATGTAATTTATTCATATGATTGCAATGCTGAATTTTCAGCAGCACATGATCCTTCAGAAATCATTCTAATATGCTGATTTGATTGTTTTAATGTAAATAGACAACAGATTTATTTATTTAGAAATGGGTTTAAATTATTTATTAAAAAAAATTGTCACAAGTGTATTTTAGAATTTTCTAGTATTAACATTAAATGTCTTATATAGTTTCTTGTTAATTGTATTACTTTTGTTATTGAAGATAGCCTTGCTGCTGACATTGCGTTAAAAAATAAATAAAATAAATATTCTAATTTGCTTCTCAAGAAACATTTTTTATTGTTATCAGTGTTGAAAAAATGTTGTGCTGCTTAATATTTTTGTGGAAACCGTGATACTTATTTTTTCAGGATTCTTTGATGATATAAAGTTTAAAAGAACAGAATTGATTTTGAAATAGAAATATATAACGCATATTAACACAACACATTAAAAAGAAAGACAAATGGAATTGAAACTCTTTGTTCAGAAAAGTGCAAGTAACGAGGCAGTGTTGATACAATTAATAGAAAATGTGTTGAAATGGTGTGTTTTTCACTAAATTGTCTTTTCACAGGATGTTGCATTGCTTGACAAGCTCATCAGAGATGATCGTGAATCAGGGAAGGTTCCATTGCTGTTGATAGCAAATGCTGGTCAGTTTGCTATTAGATCTTATTTATTCAAGCAGAATCATTTTTGCAAGCATTTGTTGGTTGTCAGTTTTGCATGCAATCATTAAAATTCACTTCATCTCTCAGGAACGCCAGGTGCAGGTCACACAGACAAACTCAGTCGTCTGAAAGAGCTCTGCGTTCAGTACAATATGTGGCTCCATGTGGAGGGGTTGGTATTAGCTGGTCCTGTTTTTGTAGTACATCTTTTACTTGATTTTCTTTTATATATTGAAATAAACAGATTTGATGTGTATAGTTAATATTCATCGTAGTTTAAATTGACTTTCTGTGCCATTCTTTCAGGGTGAATTTGGCAACACTTGCTCTTGGTCAGGTCTCTTCTGCTGTCACGGTATGTTGTACGGTGTTTTTTGTGGCACACATATGTTTGTTTCCTGTTGTAAAGTACATGCTATTTTTTTCTTCCTCTCTCTATCAAGGCGGCCACCAAGTGTGATAGTATGACTTTAACTCCAGGCCCGTGGTTGGGCCTGCCAGCTGTGCCTGCTGTCACTCTTTACAGACATGAGGATCCGGCCCTGGTAAGTTGGACTGTTACTTTAAGTACCAATCATCATTTTACAGCACATCATATGGAAATGCAATCCAAAGATATGACAGTGTTCAAATACCTAATGTGGATTATCCTCTCTGCCGGTTGGGGGCAGTCTCTTGCAGCAGGTCTGACCTCTAGCCAGCCAGTGGAGAAGCTTCGGGCTTTGCCTCTCTGGCTGTCCCTTCAGTACCTTGGGCATGATGGGATTGTACAGAGGATTAAGCATGCCTCACAGCTAGTGAGTACCCTACCAACTTCATTTTGGATGCCAACTTCGATGCACTGTACTTTAAACACAATAATTAATCTGACCTTGCTGGGAACTGATCTGTTTCCCTGTAGAGTCAACAGCTGTTGGGGCATTTGAAGACACTGGCTCCAATAAAAACCTCGGTAGGTGAACTTGTCTTCATCCATTTAGCTGTATGTCTTTTAGAGTTACATCACGTCCCCACAAATAAGTGTGAATCAGAACTATTTTGAAGCTTCTGCATATCAATATTTCCTCTGTCCTGAGTTTGTATTTCTCCCTTCATTTGGTAAATGGATAGTTCACCCAAAAATTTCTTTACTCACCCCATTTTGTTCCAAACCCAAATGACTTTCTTTCTTTCATGGAGCACACAAAAAATGTTTTGTGAAATTTTCACACTTTTCATACTTGCATATAATGAAAATGGGAACTGGAAAAGGAAGCTCCTTAAAAGTAACATAAAAGCGGTCCATGTGATTTGTGACCTATATTTCAAGCCATACAATAGTTTTCTGTGAGGAACAGATTGAAATATAAGACATTATTCATGTACCAGCTTTCCTCAAATGGCACCACAAAGAAGGTTCGGTGAATAGTGGTAACTAAAACAAAAACTATTAAAATCATTTTCTTTAATTCTTTAAAAACTTGAACTTAAAAGCTTGAAAATTAGAAATGTTGCCTTGGCAACTACAGTAACAAATAAAATGCTTAAAGGTCCCATATTGTCAAAACTGAAATTTCCTGGCTTTTTTCATGATAACTGAGGTCTAGGTGCTATGTAACTACCATATAAGTTTCAAAACAGTCAGTCCACAGTAAAATTCACACAGCCTGCATAAAGTAGCTGTGATTTTTCACGAACCGTTGTGACTTTTATTGCTTTTTTAGAAAAAATGGTATTGAGTGTTAATTTTTTCCACTGTTTGCACATAGGTACGAAGAATGTAAGGAGAAACTTGTTCCATTTTTGAAGAAAGTTGGGTTCAACCCCAGGAAAGATGTTCATTTCATGCCATGTTCGGGACTTACTGGGGCCAATCTAAAGGAGCCAGCGGAGTACTGCCCTTGGTATACGTAAGTGTGCTGACTTGCTGTCATTTCATTTTAATTTGAATGCTTTTTGACAATTATTGTGTAATATTTTAAATTTAGTATAAAAAGACATTAAATCAGTGGTTCTCAACCTTTTTGACTCCAAGGCCCTTTTTTGTCCAAGATTGTATTTGAAGGCCATTCCTTCTAAGGTGAAATATACATGTGGTGCTTCTGTAATGACCATTAATGAGCTAAAAAATATGATGTCAGTTTATTATTGTACTTTCTCCTAATTTTTTTTACATTTTAATTAATATTTAAATTTAGTTCTATTAACAGGCTCAATGGGATTTACTGGGGCCCCCCTAGAAGTTAGCTGAGATGTCCTGGTTGTCCCGGGCCCCGTGGTTAAGAACCACTGCTTTAAATATCATAAAAGTACATGAATAATGGGTCTCACTATTTTTGTATATTATGGACAGAGGGTTACCATTCATTCCACATCTGGACAGCTTGCCAAATTTCAACAGATCAAGTGATGGACCAGTCAGGTTACCCATAGTAGACAAATATAAGGTATGTAAAGTGTAAAATAAATCATCTTTGAAGAAGGAGAAAAAAATCGTATATATAATATATATATATTGTTGGGGGAATTTTTTCCCCTTAAATCTTGAACTGTATGAATGCTTTGAAGTTCATCACATGTCATGCATGGCTGTCCTTTATTTGGATGTTTTATTTAAAAATTCTGATGTCCCTTATATTTTTGTTTAAAAAAAATGCTTCTGGTGTGTTTTTGCAGGACATGGGCACTGTGGTATTGGGGAAATTGGAGTCGGGATCAATCAGCAAAGCTCAGCAGCTTGTGATGATGCCCAACAGGGTAAGATTATTGTAACATAACCCTTTAAAACATCAGGTTTTATGGCAAGAATTGGCTGACATATCTGTGCCTGTCTCAACTGTGTGCAGCACACTGTGGAGGTGCTGAGTTTGCTGTCTGACGATGTTGAAACCGATGATGCCGACCCGGGAGAGAACTTGAAGTTGCGACTCAAAGGCATTGAAGAAGAGGAGATCTTGCCAGGCTTCCTCCTCTGTAATGCTGAGAACATTTGCCACACTGGGCGCACCTTTGATGCCCAGGTCAGTGGAAACTCCCACTGTAATTAAAAGAATGATCCAACTTCAGTACAAGTTCAGCTCTATCAACAGTAGATATGATTACTCAAGTTCCTTGTTTTTGTTTTGCAGTGCTACATATCAATTGTGCTTTTGTTTCTGCCATTTCAGATAGTCATCATTGAACACAAGTCAATCATCTGCCCAGGTTACAACGCAGTCCTTCATATCCACACCTGCATTGAAGAAGTGCAAATTACGGTAATGGTTGCAAATTTTCAGTTTTTATATTTAGTATTTGGGCAGAAGTTCTCTTGTGATGTAAATCTGTGACCGTTAGCCCTGCAGACTTTAGCTCGGGTGACTGCCCTCATTTACAGCTAGTTCTGTATCAAAGTGGTTTAAATGTGCCTTTGGCTCCTTTACAGGCCTTAATCTGTCTGGTAGACAAAAAGACGGGGGACAAGAGCAAAACACGACCCCGCTTCGTCAAACAGGACCAGGTGTGCATTGCTCGTCTGAGAACAGCTGGGACCATCTGCCTTGAGACCTTCAAAGATTTCCCTCAAATGGGACGTTTCACCTTACGAGATGAAGGTAGGTGGACATTATCACCAAATGCGACTCTATAACTCGTCTTCAACTTGGATTTGTTGTTTTATATCTGTTCTGTGAAAAAAAATTTTGAGTTCTGAATATGTACTTTCTTTGTCTTGAAGGGAAAACCATTGCCATTGGAAAAGTGTTGAAACTTGTTGCCGAGAAGGACTGAAAAGAATGATTGGTGGTTCTGAAACGACTGACCGAGGCGGAGGTAGATGCTGCTTCAGCCGCAGCACACTTCATAGCCCTCCTGTCCTTTCTCCTCTCCGCCTCCCGAAGACCAGCTTAATATTAATTAGACAGGCCAAAATCGACCTGTTCTCAGCAGAGCTCCTGAGAAAGGAGCTGTAAAAATATATTGAGATGGTTTTTGGTACTTATACCGCAAATATATATTCTTAAGGACATCAAAACATAAAATAAAACTCCAGAAAGGTGTAAAATATGGGACCTTTAAATTTAAATACTAACATTACTAAAACTGAAATAAATGTAAAGAAAGTTAAATAGAAATATTAATTAAAAAAAAATAATAATAAAAGCAAGCATGTGGCACAATTACTAAAACAAAAAGTAAAACTAAAAAAATACACAAATAAAAGCTATATATAGTATATATTTACTAGTTATTACTTGAAGGTAGATAAATTATGACAATGACCAACTTTTCATTTTTTGGTGAACTATCCCTTTAAAATCTGGATGCCATTAGACATTTCTGCCATTTACAACCAGACAGTATCACCATGTTAAAATATGTCAGCTGAAAATATTAATACGTAATAATACATTTGGTAGCTCAATGACACAAATTTTGAAAACTCTTTGCACTTTATTTGGCAGCTTCTTGAAATTTTGTCCTTTTCTATATGTCAGTGGCCCACTTTTTCCTGTCAGTCAGAGAATCTAGGCTAAAACCTTAAAAGCAAACACCTCTGTTCTGTGTCACCACCATTAGGATATCCTTGACAGTGAGGTGTCTCTCATCGAGGCTTTGTGCATGGTAAAGAGCAGAGTGTTCGTCTTATGTATGTTGGCGGTGTGCTTTGTGACCGTCAGCAATGTGTGCAGCTCTTATACTGTATACATAGTGTGGTAGTGAGCGTGGGTGCCTTGGTTTCAGGATGTGGTGTCTCATTCCCGGGTCCCTCCCATCTCCGGGGGCTCGCTGCGGGACGTGCTGGGCTCTCTTATACTCTCTATTGTAGGTGGGACCAACCCTCTACCTGCTTGATCCCACTCCACTCCTTCTCCCTTTCACTCACGCTGTTTCTCCACTGTTCCCTCCCTCACCATGTCCACCCATAAATGCTGGTGCTCAGTTTAAAGGCTTTTATTCGTGTAAAGGCCTGCCAGTGCTACAGGCATGTGCAAAAACATTTAGGAAATGTCACTTCACAGAGCTTGATGACTCGTTGGGCATCAATGCTGGACCTCGCTTTGGAGCAGTGATGCAGCATCATGGGAATTAAGCAGAATTTATTAAAGGGGTCCTATTATGCTCGTTTACAAAGTCTTTATTTTGTTTTGGGGTTGTATTAGAACAGGCTCTCATACAAGGTTGTTCGAAAAACACATTATCTTTCACATATTTTACATTATTACAACACCTCTCTCCCCAGTCTGGCATGAACGGCTCGAATAGTTCCTGTGTCAAATGAAGGCCTGCCTTCTGAAATACGAAATGTGCTGTGATTGGTTAGCTGTGCCAGTGTGTGTTGTGATTGGTTAGCTGGGCCAGTGTGTGTTGTGATTGGTTAGCTGGGCCAGTGTGTGTTGTGATTGGTTAGCTGGGCCAGTGTGTGTTGTGATTGGTTAGCTGGGCCAGTGTGTGTTGTGATTGGTTAGCTGGGCCAGTGTGTGTTGTGATTGGTTAGCTGGGCCAATGTGTGTGCTGTGATTGGTTAGCTGGGCCAATGTGTG